ATGTATCCTCGTGTATTAGTACCTGTGTGTGCGCGTTGTTTGAGTTATGTCGCATGGTTGGATTCTAAAGCCATCAAAAGAATCAACTTTGTGATTTACTGCTACAATTAATCATTGTCTCAGTAAATGCCCAAACCCTACAGAACTGGTGCCTTCAGAGAGCCACTATGATTACATATTTGGCGTCCCTGAACCGGTTTTCCCTACACCAGACATAACTCAAACTCCATCATTAAGTTTGCGGACGATACTACAGTCATTGGCCTGATCACAGATGGTGAGGAGTCTGCGTACAGGGAGGAGGTTGAAACCCTGACAGCATGGTGCCAGGAGAACAACCTCTCTCTTAACATCAGTAAGACAAAGGAGATGATTGTGGATTATAGGAAGCATCAGGGAGGAGACCACACACCTATTTACATCAATGGGATTGCAGTGGAGAGGGTCAGCAGTTTTAAGTTCCTGGGAGTTAACATCTCAGAGGACTTAACCAGGACCCACCACACCAACATCGTGGTCAAGACAGCATGGCAGCGCCTGTTCGTTCTCCGCAGGCTAAAGAAGTTCTGCATGCCGTCACATATCCAGGCCAACTTCTACAGGTGCACTATTGGGAGCATTCTGACTGGTTGCATCACTGCCTGTTATGGGAACTGCTCTGCAAGGGATCACAAAGTACTGCAGAGGGTGGTAAAGTCAGCGTATCTTATCACCAGCTGTGAGCTACCAAGCATCCAGTACCCGGTACCAAAGCATTCGGTCCAAGTCCAACAGACTACGGAACAGCTTCTACCTCCAGGCAATAAGACTGTTAAATAGCCAACGTGCAGCTCCATTAGCAAATCACCTGTAATGGCTACATGGACACACAGTTTTCACTGTATTCAGCAAAACTGCACTACATGTATATATTGCACACACCATGGACACATAACAGCTCAACTCATATTGAGTTTTATTCAATTTCAAAAATGTAACCTCAGTTTTGTGAATTTTGTATTATTGTAAATATTGTGATTTTTGTGATTCTTGTGATTTTTGTGAGCTCGCAGAAAAAGACATTTCATTGCCAGCAACTACTGCTGCACGCCATATTGTTGTGCATTTGATAAATGAACTTTGACTTTGACTTTGAAATAAACTTTGACTTTGACTTTCCTTCAAAATATTTTTACTTTAAAATGACTGTTTAGCTGTAGAAAATGTAAAGGAGATACAAGGTAGTCATATTTACTTATCTCAGCTACTGTAAGTGTTTTGTGGAAATGAGGAACAGGATGAACAAACATACTGTACAATTCTATTACTTGCCTGTGAAAAATACAAATCCCTAAGATGCGACAAAGCATTTAAGTGATTTGGTATACAATTGTATAAAATAATTGTGCTGACAAAGCTTTAGACCTATAGGTAGCTCTTTAAAGCAAACTTCATATTACAGAAATCATTTTGTCAAGTAGTTTTTCAATTAAATATTCAGCATAATTAGTCAAGGTTGAATTGGTTGTATCAATTATATCTCCTAAGCTTACAGATGCAATGTTTTATTCAAACTACTGTATCTACTTAAAAGCTAGAATGTGAATGCACAAAAAATATTTTAATTATATGCATATAACTATAGACAAGCACTTGATTTTTTTCATTAAGACTGTGGTTCCTTTTTAGGTCAGCATTCTACTGTTCTCGGCAAGACAAAAAAAAGCCTGTTACTATAAATATCCTGGTACTCATCTGGAAGTAGCTTAGAACCTGTGACCCACCACAGATGATGCCAAGACATACCTTAAACCATGCCAACAAATTCCTCCATATTACCCATGCATATAAATCTGTGAAAGAATCATGTGGTACATGGCAGCCATTATCAAAAATGGGCATGTTCACAATGAAGTTAATTATAGGCTTTGATCCTCAAGGATAACAATACACTGATCTTTCTATGTAGAATAATTTCTATTTATAAGTTGTCAGCTGTTGAACCATAAGTTGGTAGCACTGCTGACATTCTACAACTGGATAATAAGTAAAGAAAGCCATCTGTGCCAATGTAACTTTGTTTTTTATTTATTTTAGTTAACACAGACAGAGAAGGGTATTTCAGTAGAAACAAAATTATGGATGGTGAGCTATTGCCAGGCAGTGTAGTTTTTTGCTACTTTCTGTCTCCAGTCTTTCTGAATATGTCATAATCAGTGTCTAGGTACTGTATATGGCGTTTATAAAAAAATATTTAACTCCAAGTAAAATTCTATTAAAAAAATAAATGTTGACCTAGATGTTACCTTTTACATGTCATGTCTATAAACACCGGGATGTCTGATGAAATAAAATAAAACTGATTTCAGATGCCCAGATGAAAAATGGAAATCTCATTATAAATTTGACAGCTAAGAAAATGTATACCAATTTGAACATTTAGTAACTTCTCTACTGTATTTGTGAAAGTGAAATCCTCTATAATATTTTATTTACTGTAAATAAATTATAAAATCACAATTCAATTTTGTAGGCTTTGATTTTCAGTTCAAACTAAAGGTATTTTAAAACAACTACATGCCACAAGATGGCATATTTAATAATTCATTACTTGTAGGTTTTATAAGGTAATGATTTTCTATTTGCTATAATATAATATTTTAATATAACTAGTCTGAAACAGTGCTCCTTTAAAATATATTATATATAGTAATTTTTTTCACAGTATTTTGTGTTAAGATATAAGAATATTTACTAAATTGCTCAAAAATACTTTTTCTCCCCCATACTGCCATTAGACTTCAAGGAGGCTTTCTCCCTGTTCGACAGAACTCCGACTTGTGAAATGAAAATTACTTATGCTCAGTGTGGCGATCTAATGCGAGCACTTGGTCAGAACCCAACAAATGCTGAAGTCATGAAAGTTTTAGGGAAGCCAAAGCCTGAGGGTAAGTGAATCATTATTTTTCAGCTAAGTAAATTTGTTTTAAGTAATATTTAAAAGGGAGCTACAAATACACATTTTGAATACATACCCAATACCTTAGGAAAGCGAATATAATTCTAATTGTAACTGATGTGCTCTGTTGTTTTCACTAGCATTTTTAAAAGCTTGATTTTCTGTTTAGAGAAACTTCCCAGCATCATGCTAACAAGTATTTAGATTTTAAGATTCTCCAATAATATGTGTCAATTCTATACTGATTATAGTTTTTATCTGCTTAATGTTTAGAAAGTCAAATTAATACATACATATTTATATATATATCTAAGTAATATAATTGGAAAGGTAGAAAACACAAGGCCACAGGCTGAAGGGGCACTTTCTAATATGAATAAATCTAATTGTATTAATAGGTTAGTGGAGTGTTCACTTTTTCATTTTTTATGACTTGTTATATTAATTTCAAATATGTTTTAAATTACTGTTAGTTCATCTATACAAGTGAGTCCTCTAAACTGCTTCTAGTTAAACTAGAAAATCATAGGACTTTAAGTCACACTTGGTATCTAGGAAATTATTGATTCAGGGCCAGTCTCTTTTTGCAGTGATTGCTCATTTTGCTTTGGTATGTGAATGGATTCATGAAAGAGAGCTTGCTTGAGTCAAATTGCTTCATTATCCCAGAAAGGTCACAAAGTAATTGTTGTAAAGCCCATCATTTCAGACTTGTAACTTGGTAACACCCGTTGATTAGATTCTTTAAGTGTCAAAAGGATCGAACTGCACTCAATATCCAAATATATAGTATTTGTTAAGCTCACTTCTGCCCCTTCCCTGCATCACTCAGATTGAAAACATACCACAAAACGCAATGGCACACACACTCTGTTTGATTTTATCTCACTTGATATAACCCACACAAAACAATTAATCAAAACATATAATGGCACTGGATAATCTATAAAATTAAGTTAAAACAACACATAATAACTTCTTGGATTTTACTGTCTAACTTTGATATTTAATGAATCAATCACAAACATCTTCTTAACAGAGATGAATTCCAAGATGCTAGACTTTGAGACATTCTTGCCAATGCACCAACATATCAGCAAAGTCAAAGATCGAGGAACCTTTGAGGACTTTGTGGAAGGACTGAGGGTTTTCGATAAGGAGGGAAACGGGAGTGTCATGGGAGCTGAGCTTCGCCATGTGCTGGCTACACTTGGTAAGTACAGTATACTTTGTGCTGATGCTGTACATGAAGTCATTGTATATTTATATTTATTTATGTTAAATGACAGGAAGTACATTGGAACTGAGATTTTCAGTACATTTACTAATGCAAAATACAAATGCAGCAGTAAAAAACACAATACTAAAAGAGTATTAGAGAGGCATTTTGAATTTGCTGTACAGAATAAATAATGCCAGTGATTCTGTTGTGCTACTGTAAGTCATGGGATTAGCAAAAATGCTTGTGTGTGTTGTTGATTTTAAAATCGACACAAATGTTTAAATATGTTGAAGTGCAATGTATATATAAAACTCACAAAAAGACATTTCGCTGAAATAAGAGCAGTTGATCTTTGTTACTGAAACAGAGTGATCATTTTTCATACAATTGAAGGCTGTCTTGAGAGGATATGCTAGTAGAAAAAGAATAGGTTATCTAGCCATGGCTCCAGTCTGATGAAGAAAACAAGAAAATTCTTCATTTAACATAGTTACCCCACTCATCTAGGACCTTAACCGCCTTTCCCTATATTTCTGGAATCAATGCTTACCTAAAATGGAAAGAATTTCCAGGGCAAAACAATTTGTGAATCAGCAGAATGATGGTAGCACAGTGTCACACATACCTGTATTTGAAGGTTGTTTGGGAGACATTTCAGGCAGTTGAACATCACAATTATATTTTGAGGTGTATGCAACACTTGAATAAATCAATCAGTTTGGTGGGGTATTTCATTCAGTGATTACTAGAATTTTCCATTGTTTGACCTAATTGAAGACAGTTAGCAGAAGACAGTATAAACCAGTGAGCCTTTTCTAGCTTGACACAACCTCTAAAGAATAGGATAAAATATCACTTGACATTCTATTGATAAAATAATACAATTAATGTGGTAATAGTGTCACAATTTTGTGAATGCTTTGGGAAGTCACAGCAGATACTGATCTATCATGTTTCATAACAAATATATGTTTTTTCATGGGTAAAACAAATACTAGAAACAGCTACTGCTGTATTAATGTATTCAATTTCTTTTTGAAATTTCCTATTGTATAAACTTTATTTCACATTTGAAAATTTTATGAAATAATATAGGCTTCGTAGATTAAGTCTACATTGGTATAGCTTTAATGCACACTTCTGTAGACATTAACCAGTATTTTTAAACCTTTTTGAAACATTCTGTAGATTTGAGTATATTGTAGCGCTTTTGGGTTTACGTGAGTATGCGCCCTCGCTGCTGCCGCCTCAGGTTGGTCCCCCACTGCTAAGGGCTCAAACGCAGGCATCCGGCTTCATTCAACAAGGAACCAGCCAGTTGAGCTTAAGAGAGTTCTCCACTTAACCTGGTGGCTGAGGTCCCTGCTATTCACCGCCAGGGCGGTGACTGGCAAGCCAGCTCACACAACCCATAATGTTGGACAATGTGTACAATATATTAAATTATGTTCAAGGCCTCAAAGGAGATTTTAAAAAAGGGGTTTTAAGACAGCATGTTTTGGTTAAGAAAATACTATGGAAAACACAGGTAAGTGCCCGTGGATATGTTACTGTAGCGATTTCTTGAATATATGTAAAGTGCAGATAACTGCAAACCAAACCCAAGTGAAACACAACCATCCTGTGAGATGCAGCACAACCATCATGTAAGATGATTTAATAATGGAGTGCAATAAAAAAGTAACTTTAAATTGAGTGCACAGCAGAAACAAACGCATTCATTAACTAATGTGTTGGTTCAGGTGAGAAAATGAGAGAAGATGAGGTTGAGCAACTCATGGCTGGACAAGAAGATGCCAATGGCTGCATAAACTATGAAGGTAATGTCATTTTGAGAGAAAGCTCCAGTTCAGTTTAGTTCAGTTTATTGTAATTTGCACAAGTGCAATGAAATGCGTATTTACATGTACAGTATGCTCCAATACAAAGAATACACAACATTAGTGAAACACCAGAAACATAAAAATAGAACATCAGCAGCAACCACAATAAGTTAAATAACATACAGACAGTATTAGAAAAAAAATGTAACATATCACTAAGTCATAAACATCACTAATGCTATAACATTTGTAATGTGTTTTAAGTTCATACTGTACATGCTAGCCTTTGGTGGTTTAACCTCTTTCTGTCCTAAAGTCCCTCTTACCATTTTATTTTTCTGAACAAATCCTTTAAATATTTTAAAAACACATACTGTATCACATAAAATTTTTAGTTGGAATGCAGAGTGTTCCAACTAAAAATATATGCTGTTCTGTACAATTTTTATTTTTTAGTTTTCTGTTATGAAGAATATATTTGAAAATGTATACAAATCAGCAACAGCAAAAAGCTTGGTGAAACAGCTGTGAAAACAGCTTATTTTTACACTTGTTAGAGTCTTATGTTCTGTGCTGCCTTTTCTGATTTTTAATTAAAGTGTGAAAAACTGCAGAAATACAGATGTATCCATCTAGAATACAAGAGGTGCTAGTGTGGTCACATCACTTCTGTATATTTTTGAATAATCTGAAGTAAGACTGCATTTCTCTGTAAAACTACCAGGCGATGACGTGAATCCTTAAAGTACTGCAGCGGTGTTGGTGTCAGTCTAATTGATACAGTATTAAATATTTATTAACCCATTAGTGCTTACAGTATGTGCAATTCTTTAAATATGATGATCACATTGCTGAGACAGGATGTTACCACTTTGCTACCACAACTCCAAATGAGATATAGAATGTCAAAATACTGAATAGAATTTTTTTTTATTACAAGCGGTACAACTATCAGTAATTGTATATAAATGGAAATAAGAAAACAAAAAAATCAAAAAAATCAGAAAATCCTTTATTTTAGATTTTAATTATAAAATACATTATATATATATAGTGGCTTTAAAACCATATTTAAGAGCAAAAACACATAATGTTTTGAGTAATTAACAATGTTGCATACTTTAATATAGTAGTTGATACAATTGCAGACTTCAACAGAGTGAGCACTATTATTAGAAAATATATTTAAATTGTTAATTTCACAATTTCTTGTTATGTTTTTTTAATATAACAAAAAACACCACTTAAAACATTTTAATATCATTTTTATGATAGCTTGCAAAACAAGTGGTATAAATAATTGCATTTGGAAGGAGGCAGTCTGCAAGAATGGATGTAATGGTTGATGTATTGATATTACTTCAAAGGATTCCTTATCTTTCTAACTATTCTCTTACTCATTTTGACATTGCTCGATCTAACAGATACTATATGTAATAAATGGTAGCATTACATGTGTGGGAATTCAGGGAAAGTAGTTTTTCATCTATTTGGCTCATGTGCCAAATTAAAAACTACATGCTGTGTTTGGTGACAGATACTGTTCCTCTTCCATTTTGAAGACGCTGACTCTAGAATGTTTTATTTAATGGAAATGTAAAATTAATTAATGCCACACACTGAATCCAAATGTACTGTAATTATTTGTCTTTGTGTCCCTTGATGTCGGAGTTAGCAGTCATCATGTATGATAAGGCCTGGGTGGGACCATTTAATTTGCAAATGCATGAATGTTCCATTTGACATCCATCGTCAGACAGAGAAAATGACAGAAAAAACAGACAATGAGACAACTAGAAAAATCAGTAGAAATTACCTTTTGCATGATTTTGACAACAAAGTAGATGGAGAATCATCATATACTGTATCTTGTTTAATACAACATACCCTTTTTGTATTTCTCTTCTCAACAGCTTTCGTCAAACATATCATGGCAGGATAAAAGAGGTATCATAATTATTTATTTCTTTATTTTAATTAATTCTAAGTACCTTTTACGATATATTATTCAAACTAATTGTGATTCTTCCTTTCCCAGGGAATTAATATACCAATAATTTTCCACTGGAAATGACCTGGGAAGTTTCAAGCTTTTATTGTCTGTTATCTTGTAATGATGCCCTTGATAATAAATGAAATAAAAACAATAACAAGGCTGGAAAATAATGTATATCAGAACAATATTTACAAAAGAGAAAATAAGAAAAACTTTTTTTTACATAAACTGTGAATGATTCACATCACTGAGCTAGTTCATGGGGTTCGTTATTCTTTTGATATGTAGGTTATCAAGTACAAGGCAAAATGCACTGCTGAAATGAATAATACATTATTACCAACTCTGACATGCTAATTTGCAAACTAATGAACACACACAACATTTTAAAATGTTGAAATATTTGTATGAAACTTAATTCTATCACTTAATTATTTGTTTCCAGTTTTCCGTGATCTTTAACAAATAAAATAAGTTGCAGTAATAATGTAATTACAAGAAAATAAAGCAAATGTAATAATTGCATGATAAAACATGTCCTTTTTTATGTTGTTTGTTCAAACTAGAACAATTACCTGAATTCACATATATAATATATATAATAAGAAGAATATGAACATTAAAGAAGAAATGCACACAAGGTGTTTATTAACTTATCTGACATGACAAAGTATCATAAAAATAAAAGATGATGTACTGAGTAAAATGTTTAAAATGGACCTATAACTGAAAGCATGTGAGCATGGAGCTGGTGGTCACTGAATAGATTTTCAGTACTTGGAATGTGAGGTTTTGTCTCCTGCTGATACAAATAGATTATGCACTTCTGCCAAAACCACAGCTAACTCCCAGGTAGGGTTTTTTAAAACCCTATGCCATGCCACAGATGTAGCCAAATGCAGCTATTGAGTTTTCATTATGTATATTTAACAGAAAGCAAATAAAAGGAAACCAGAACCAAAATACATACGTTTACACAGCCAAATATACACATTAGGTTCTGAATAAAAGGATCTTGTATGTGCATAAGTGTTAGTTATTACACATTTTGATTTTATCATATGCTTCTTTTTTATAACTAAATACGGGTAATAAAAAAAACATTGACCCAATTAAAATGTGCTGATGTTGTATTTACTGTAACATTATTTGTTAGAATAATGAAAATATACATATAAACAGTATTGAAACATTATAGTTTATTTTCCAAATTAGCAAATTTAATATTAGGATTTGATCAATTAAGGGGCATCAGGGTCCTCTTTTAAAATACAGCAGAAGGACACTAAAGAGAATAACAAAAAAATACTATACTGTACAGTAAGTCCATGTATCTTTACATTGAAATGTAACATTTATAATTTTTTATTAACTTCATCTACAGTACATCTGCAATTGGCACATCATATTATTATGAAATAGTCTGTGTAATGATGTACATGAATTATATGAACCTGTTACATTCCTTTTATTGATCTAATGAAATTGAAACATCACACTGTACAATGCATAACATTCCCTCTGAAACCAAAACACCACTACAGAAATATAGTTTTTTGTAAGACAAAAACAATACAATTGGAATATGTTCCTATTTTATTGGTTTATTGATTGAAAACAGATTATTTATTTTAAGCCTCAAAGGTAGTCTTGTATGTATCACATATAGGCAATTGCTTTCATATATGGATGTAATCAGTGTCATGAATTATTTACTAATGTCAAATGCTTGAAGTTAACATACATATAGATTTTTATGTAGTATGTAATGCTACACGGGAGAATATCTATTCACCTTGGAGTAAAATGATTCTCAAAGTAGATTACTTTTAGTGTCCTAAATACCAAAACAGAAAAAGGGGAAAAAGTACTATCAAACATTTTATATCACTATTGCTCTGAGGATTTATGTTATTTCTATACCATATAAGTTGCAATTTTGTAACTTTATTGAAAATTGATTTACAAATAAATACACTTCACACTTAACACTTCAGCTTGAAATTCTGAATATTAAAAATTCAGAAAATGTTTTCTGTTTTTTTATCATTTTAAAAGACATAAAATTGTAGATTTTCTGAATACAGATCTGGATGCAGACTGAGTTTCAAATACACACAAGGACCTGATAAGGGGACAAAGACATCAAATTATTTTACAGTGAATACTATTGGTGTATAATCACTTGCACTATTAAAACAGTGCTTTGTATTGAATATTGAAGTGTAATCTAAACTGTTTTGACTTCTGTAGCTTCTTCACACTTTGCTCAAAGGCAGTTATTAAATCCTGTGCTAATCCAATAAGTAATATTTTGCTTCAATTGGGGATACAAAAAGGGAATATTCACCGTGACTTCATTATACCTCTTCGTGATTCACAATTTCCCAAGTGCAGCAGATCTTCCTACTTGGGCAATTTGGTATGGATGACCCACGTAGATAAAATGAATTCTTCCTTGAATTGGGAAAGTTGTTAATCTGCCACGACCAACCCTGATGTTAGAGGCCTTCCTTTCCTGGTTTGGTCCTCAGCCCTCGCAGTTCTACTTTCCTGTTGTAATAAAATGTAGAGCTAACTCTATAAAAATAGGCTGGTCCTGTTTGGTTAGGGACATATATCAAGCCTGTGATATTTTAATGCCCCTTGACACATCGTTTCGCTTTGAAAGTATCTTTTTGACTTTCTGTCTCTCTTTCAATATTACATCCTACAATCTTTTTTCTCCTATAGAGAATTTACCAGGCTACTCCATATTCAGAGTAGACAACTACTGTTGTCTGTTGTTCTCTTTTATAGTGAAATTTCTTTTTGGCTACTGCTTCATGAGGAATGTAAAATATTTTCCTCAGTTTCTGGAGTTATACTACACAGCCTCTAGAGGTCTAGGCCAAAACTTGAACTCCAGATCCCACTGCTCTCTTACACCAAGTTATCAGCTATTTTGGAACAATCACCAAGCCTCGTCACTTGGAAGTACTAAGGAATACAGTACCATGTAGTTTGTGGATCAGTAAAACTATATAATAATGCAACCTTCATAGAGTGCTTATAAAACTTATAAAACTTTAGTTTAAAATCTGAATCCAAAACTCCTGGAATCTTCAATCATATTTCAGACAGGTGTGTTTAATGTGATTTGGATTTTTTTCTGCGGAACTACTGTGGGGTGACATTTTAAAAATGTTTAAAGAAGAAATAATTATTTTTTTATAAATCTTAAAATGTACTGTATGTCTGGCATATTTTGTTCCAAACACTATGTTCACTTTAGCATTGGTGATGTAACCAGTTCTTCCACATCAAATGTGGCCAATTTCTGTTGGCCAAAGTTTGGTTCTGGCCAAATTTTTGAATGAATCAAGTCTTTTGCATTCATGTAGAATGGCTTTGAATGAGAAAGACCAACATTTATCCAAAAAGACCAATTTGGCAGGAGTAAAGGAGGGAAGCTGAATAGGCAGGCAAGGCTAATGAGCATTGGCCCCTCAGGGTAACTGGCAGACAGTTGAGGCTGAGGGGTGTACATAAATATGCATTTTTAACCTTAGTAAGGAGGTAGGTGGTTAGAAAAACAGCTACAAAAGACACTGGAACCAGAGCACTGAAAGTAAAAAAAAATGCCAGATACTACCATAAACATTTTGGTTAATTTGTTATTTTTACTAAAGAGCTGTGAAGTTCAAGATTGTTTTATTTTCTTACATCTATAAGGCTGCTGACCCAGAATGTGCAAACACCACAATGCACAAACATGATTACTGTGGATAGATATGGAGATGAACCCTGTTTGCCAGCTGCTGCCACAACTCTCTCCAGTGCAGGAAGATTAATTCATGCCATTGAGCAGATTCAAGAACAATGTCAAGAAACTACACCCAATAGCATGGTCTGTCAGGCTGTTGAAAGGGCTGTCAATATGGAGTTACCACAGTGCAACCCCATCCTGACTCTATCCTCTCCTAGCTACTCCAATAGCCAGGCGAATAAAATAAGTCCAGAACATTACTCAGAAGCATTAATTGACCTGTTTTAAAGTACAACCACTTTCTGTGCCTACTGTAGCTGTGCGTTGAGTGGCTTTGGAGGTTAGTGCTGGCTAGCTAGACTGGAAACTGTTATGTAACAATACACTGTGACTGACATACTGTACCACACTCTTTGCTGAAATTCAGCTAACAAAAATTCACCTCTTTGTCATTTGGGATACTTCACGTAAAGTAAAGTAAAACTTCACGTGAATATGTTGTATACCCTAGCTCAGTTCAGTTTATTTGTCATATTCACAAGTGCTATGAAATTCTTTTTTGCATGTACTGTATGCTCCAATCCAAAGACATTAAGGGAATCACCAAAAACAAACACAAAATAGCATCAGCAACAACAACAAGTTAAATAATAATTGCTTTTCTGGACACTCCACTCAAAGCGCTTTACCGGTAATGGGGACTCCCCTCCACCACCACCCATGTGCAGCATCCACCTAGATGATGCAACGGCAGTCATAGTGCGCCAGAACTCTCACCACACATTAGCTATCAGTGGGGAGGAGATCAGAGTAAAGTAGCCAATTCATAGAGGGGGATTATTAGGAGGCTGTGATTGATAAGTGCCAATGGGAAATTTGGCCAGGATGCTGGGGTTACACCCTTACTCTTTTCGAGAAACGCCCTGGGATTTTTTTAATGACCACAGAGAGTCAGGGCTTCGGTTTAACATCTCATCCGAAGGACTGCACCTGTTTACAGTATAGTGTCCCCGTCACAATACTGGGGCATTAGGACCCACATGGACCACCGGGTGAGTGCCCCCTGCTGGCCCCACTAACACTTCTTGCAGCAGCAACCTTAGTTTTTCCCAGGAGGTCTCCCATCCAGGTACTGTCCAGGCTCACACCTGCTTAGCTTCAGTGGGTTGCCAGTTGTGGGTTGCAGGGTGATATGGCTGCTGACCATGTTAATAAATTGTATACAACTTAAAAAAAAGGCAGTGAAGCTGTGTGAGAGAAAAAAAAAAACATCAGTGTGAGCCAGTGGTAGGGGAAGAGTTCAGTAATCTGACAGTTGTGCCTTCTTTGTAGCTACAGTTACATGTTTTAAGTCATTAGTAATGAAGGTACAAAGATACTTGAAGCTGCTAACCATTTCTACAGCC